AAGAGCTTCTTCATCAAAATGGAATGGCAGTAGCCATTGCTTCCTATCAAGCAGTGGATTGCAAACTGATAAACATTAGAAATATGTATTAGAAACTTTATTATAAACAGTATGGGATTGAGTGGGTAGCATAGCAGAACAGAGTACCCACACTTGCAGAAGCTGATTTTGGAAGTAAGTGGAGGGTCTGAACAGTACTCAGTGCCATTGGTACTTCCAGCCTGGTAATTCTTTCCTGGTCACTGAATAAGGGGACAGAACAAGAATAGGGAATACCTTGAGTGTTGTGATGTGGATTCTTGGATTCAGGCTGTGCTGAACTGTAAAACACTTATCTGAGTATACAACAAGGACAAACAAGAGGGTGAACAAAAAATGTTACAGACCTACACTTAGAGTCACTAACTGGAAAGAGAAGGCCAGTCACATAGATGAATTTAGGTGGGTGATACATTCAGGAATGTACCTGAAGGGTTCGGAATGCTGAGGTAGAAGTAGAAGGAATTTATTGCCTTTGTCCAAGATAGACATCTGATTCACTACCTCTTAAACAGTAGGGAGTATATCAAGTTGTACTTTTTTTATTGCCCTAAAATCCACACATTTCAAGCCTTGAATTGAAAAATGGCCTGTTCAAGTTAGAGACCAATGTTGCATCCTCTTGTGCTTTATGCTTATGTATACCAAAGGCATTTTAGGAGATTTCTTCTTCTTTTCCCCCGCCCTTTATCCTCCATTGGAGCATGGTCCTAAACTAACTCATGCTATTATCTTATCTTTTGCCATCCTTTGTTGCCTACCTTTTGTCCTTTCCATAACATTTATCTCTGTCTCTGGTCCACTTCTAAATATGTTTTAGATCACTGTGTGTTCTGGTGCGGGGACTTAATAATTATACTATTATAGGCTTTCTTTGTGTCTTATTCTGTTTCTGCTCATATCCCAAAATCGAGCATAGGCTTTCTATGAGCTCATACTATAATCAGGTTCTTTTCCAACATATGCAGATATGCAGCTCACCCCATGCCCTTCCAGTCTTTTTTCACCTTAGCTGAATTTTTTTTTTTTTTAGTATGTGTGTAAAGGAAGAAGAGGGGTCTCCCTTTATTTATTTGACCCTGTGGGTACCAGTACATGACATTCTGTTTCAACTGTTAATGATTTTCGGCACCTCCAGGTATCTCCACGACCAAGTGGTCAAGCCATTTGCTGCTATGAAAATCAGTCATTCAGTTCACTAATGCATTATTTATAGAGATCCCTAGAGATCTTTCTAGAGCTACAGAGTTTTTTACATCTTGTGCCAAGCTCATGGCAGGCGGCTGGTTATTCTGTGGAGAGAGACTGTGCCATATGAGATAAGACTCAGTGCAGTGAAGTCAAACCTCTCTCTGTCTCTCACTTTAACTTTAAATTTAACTTCTACATTCACCAGACTTTATTTCTCTCCCAGACTACCACATTAAGGATTCTGTCACATCAGTGAATTTTCTCTATACAGTACCACATTTTGTTCCTCTTGATTTCCTGTAACTTTTTAAGTTCTTTTCCAGAGTTCCACATTAGTGCTTCCATCATACCTTCTGTTCTGAGCAGGTATAAGTTAATAAATGTTTGTATTTAATAATAGTTGTAGTAGACATTGTCCTTGTTTCATCTTCTGTATTTATGTGATGTTAAGAGATACAGTTAGGTAAGTAGGCCAGCAGTAATTCTGGCTGTATGTCTAACAGGAATGTCAACGGCCTGTACAGGATGGTTTTGTTTGCCTTGCGGGATATTGAGCCTGGGGAAGAGCTTAGCTATGACTACAACTTTGATTCTTTCAACCAAGAGACACAGGTGAGACGTGGTTGGTGTGGGTTGGTGCTGGAGTTTTGCTTTCTTTACAATGTATGCAGTTGTTTGAGGTAACCATTCAACAGGTAGTCAGAGATTACAGAACATGGAATCACACTGTTGAGGAGTAAGAGTGTCCATTTCAGGTCACTGTGGGTTGTGTGTTGAATCCTTGGTAAGGCTTAAAGTTTTAAGAAATTGAAAATTGTAGGCTATGTGTCGACTGCTTAGGCAAAGGGCATGTAAGCCTCAACCTAAAATAAACTCACACAGCACACACAAGCAGTAGTTTAGATCTTTAAAAACACAACAAAAGCAGACAAATTGCTTTAATTAAAATAATAAGTAAAAGGACACTCTTCCACTACTTCAGGTGTATTGGGCTAGACCTATATTTTATAGACTGATCAGCACTTGGTGGGAATGGGGTCTACATCATGCTGACCACCTTACTTCCCAGGACTTAATACCTGGTGTGCATGTAAGGCTGGGTCGACCTGGGAGCCAAGGTCTTTAAAAAAAAAAAAAAGAGGCTTTGTTGGGACCCGAACTCATGACCTTTGGATCCGCAGGCAAGTGTCTAGCCTGCTATACCACAGTGCCTCTCATTGTTTTCATTAGCCCCCCCCTCCCCCACACACGCACAAACACCCACCCACACACACACATAAGCACACAAGCACGCGTGCACACACATACACAAAACGTACATAGTTAAGGATTAAATGTGGCATGCACTGATTTGTGAAAAGTATATTAGATGTAGTTTGTTAAAATCTTTGCTTTTTTTTTTTTTTAAAGAAAGCCGTAATTGCATACATGAGAGATGGGTATCTGACATGCAAAACTCAGGTCCAGGTAAGAGCCAAAAGTCCTAGCGGACGATTAACCGGGACCTTCCGCAGGAATTCACAGCCGGTGAATGAAGAAGAAGAAGAAGATGAACCTGTCAGCTCTCAGTGTGGGTTCTGGGGAACCTACTGCCCATTTCAAGCCTTACAGGCAAATAGTTAAGGTTTTGCTGAAATTCGAGGTTGGGCTGAAAGATGCAAATGTCACAGCCTAGCTGTGAACTACAGCACAGTGTGTCAGCCTTCCTCTTAAGGGTGAACAGAGAAGAAGAAGAACTGATCAGCCACAAAATCTTTATGGAAACTAAGAAGAACATTTTAACTGTATTTGGTAGGATAATGTATCCGCATCATGTTTACGGTCATTTTTATGTATACAGCTTCCACATTGTCTTCATTATCACAGCCTCATAACACTGCTCGACATTGGGGTCACCACATGCTGTTGACTCTAAGCAGTTCCTTCCACCTCTGTTGGTCAGATGCAGTCTACATGTTTGAGGTCTGTCCATTCAGCTCAATTCTGTATCCAGGTCTCTCTTGGTCTTTCTCTTTCACTCCGCAAAGCGCGTAGTATCGGTTTGGAGAGACTGATAGATCTTTTTTGTTTTTCGTAAATGGGTAAGCTTCCACATAATTTCTGACTAATAAGTTGACTGTGCATGTTTTAAGTAATAGAGGGTCAATAGTTTACAGATCCATTTGTAGCAAATAGAGCATATACGTAATAAGTGTTCTCAATCTGAACTACAGCAAGAATGTCGTTGTGGTAGCTCGGATTGCCGGGGAGTGATTGGTGTGAAGACCCAGCGCAACAACAATGCTTGGAAGTTCCCAGACAAAGCTGATGACTGCAAGGACAAGCGCAAATCCAAACTTATGAACAAGAAGTTGAGGGACAAGGTAAGGAACTTAATGCACTAGTTACAAGTCTATGCTCTTTGATGATTAGTGTAGTCATATTCTTATGATTAATAGAGAGTTACATTGGTTATGTGTCCTGCATGCTTATCTGCTACTCTAGAAGTCAGGTATTTGAATCCCTATCTAGTTTGGTTAAAAAAAAATTGTCTTATCTTATTATGGGTAAGAGTAAATACCCTGGGAAGTAAAGTTGACTGGCACTTTTCAAGCACATCACCTGTTTGGTTTCGATTGGTTTGTAAAAATATGGAATCTTTCACTTCCATTACCATTGAATTCATGTACTAGTTTACATTTTTATTTTTATAGATATGAACTAGCAAGGAGTGGACATATTCTTCTTTGTTCCAAGCCCTTGAGGTGCATTGCTGTAGATATCACTCACCTCTATTAATTTATGTGATGACTATAAGTACTATATGATGAACATATATTAAGTGTTTAAATTGTACAGAACTTGTAACCTGTTCTTTCCATCACAGTTTTTTTTTTCACAGTGAAGTGAGGTGCTGATTTGCTTCAAAAAGACTAAATCTAGTTATTTCTAGATGTGACACCTTTTCGTAAATGCTGACATTTCTGCACATCTGTAGTGATCTGTTCTCAAAAAGCATATTTACATTCCATCGCTTTGATACTCACCTGCACAGTATTTAGTAGGCTGTTGAAACAAAATAGCATGGGGGAAGAGGAGGCGAGAAGTGTCCCCTTTATGACCCCAGTGGCATTTGTAAAGTCGACTGTAAATTTTTCCATAATTGTCAGGGATACAGGTCACAGGGTCATGACGTGAGTCACCAGATACATAAATGTATAGTCCCCAGTGATTTTTTTTTTCCTATTTAACTCTTTGAGTCCCAGGGGGTTTAGCATCACAGGCCCAGAGGGTAGTAAAGAAAGCAATAAAATCGGCGCATAATGCGTTCATTGGGCTTCTAGGTAGGAACCTATGAACATATGATGCGTTCCTTGGGACTTAAAGAGTTAATGCTTCGCGGTGTTCATGTTTATTTGTTTACCCACTCTATATGTTTTATGATGCTTTTTAAAAAAAACTTAACAAATTAAGGTGAATAAACTTCACAAATTTTTTATGACCTATGAAAAACTTTTCTGAAGATATTTAGGAAATTTCCACAGGTTCAGAACCATTATACAAGCATTCATAGGGTAAAATGATTAATGTCTCAAATGCATTACAGTTTTATCTTGACCTTGTACAGAATCAGTGTTAGTAGCAATGAATTTTGAAACTTGTAATAATATTTTGGGTAGGAGTGAGTGTTTGTATGCATTTGTGCACAGACCAAATACAACTTACAGTTGTTTGGTTGTTGATTCTATAGAAAATTGCGATTACAACTTTTAAAGTTTTTTTTTTCTCAGGCTTACAATAAACAGCAATCAGAATCAGTAACTGTACTGCCCTTAGCGAAACCGCTTACATTTAAAGAGCGCTGTTATGCTCGTAAGCATAGAACTTTCTTGGTGCGCAACGTGGATAGAGTTCGTAACCAGCGCAACCCACATCAGGATTTTGCAGCCATAGCGAAGGAGGAAATGAATACCCTTGACTGTAACAAAATCAATGTCTTGAATTCTGGTGAGTAAATAAAGTCTTCCCATTGCGATGTTTGTTTAAAGTGTTGGTTAATTGTTCAAATCAAAACTAAGGGACAGTTTTAAGCTGAATTTCATTTGATGTTAGCATCATTAAATAATCCTCAAATATATTATTGTCTTTGGTGAATAAGTTCAGATTGATATTTAACATAATTAAACAATCCTTACGAAAGTAATTTGTCCTGGATGACAGTCCAGATTTTTCTTAGCATAATTAAACAGTCAGGAGTACCCCAAATGACTGACACCTTCTTATTCATGGTTTGTCTTGAGTGGCGTGAACATGCAGTGCCTGCAATATTTGAGCCTTTTGGTTGACACATCTGACTTCTCCAGGTATTTGTTCTCCAGATTGGCCTTCCTGGTTAGCAGTCGTTTAAGTGAAAGTTTGTCATTTAGTAGGGCTCTCGGTTGATGGACAATGGTTTGTCATATGTTTGGACTCTCAGTCAACAGTTGTTAAAACAAAATTTGTCGTTTAGCCAGTGGACCTCACTCATGTTTCCAAATGTGTTTTCTATTGCGTTATTACCGATGCATTAGGGTTGAACTGATGAGTGTCAGAGGATTTTTTGTACTGTTGTCATTCGGTTTGCAAATAGTGATATTTCAGTATTTCAAAGATCCTTAGGGGCCTTAACTGAAGTTCAGAATATGATGCTTTTGTGATAATATTGGCAGGCACAAAACAACTGGTGTGGAAAGGTGGGCGAGGGGAGAGAGAGAGAGAGAGAGAGAGAGAGAGAGAGAGAGAGAGAGAGAGAGAGAGAGAGAGAGAGAGAGAGAGAGAGAGAGAGAGAGAGAGAGAGAGAGAGAGAGAGAAAGAGAGAGAGAGAGAGAGAGAGGGAGGGAGAGAGAGAGAGAGAGAGAGAGAGAGAGAGAGAGAGAGAGAGAGAGAGAGAGAGAGAGAGAGAGAGAGAGAGAGAGAGAGAGAGATGTAGCGATTAAAACCTTGTGCGGTGAAGACAATTTTCTTGTCTTTAAACACAAGTGCAGGTTCTAATAGTCACTTTTATTCAAATGTGCCGAATAATTATTCTTAGAAATAGTTTAAATACTAAATGTTACCTAGTATTTTATATTTTATATTTTACACTTTGTTTAATTTTTTACATCTTGATGATTTAATGGATTTTCTTTCATATTATTAGTACAAAATTTTCATTTTCAGATCTTGTGTTGGCTCATTTGAATGAAAGATCTGTGAAGACCAGGTGAGTTGATGCTGTTTCAGAGAAAAATCAATTTTCCTGCGTGCTCTTCTTGAGATAAAGATGGATGCCATACTGTTAAGCCTCTTCACTTACTCATTAACGCTGTCACCTCAAGAACATGAAAAAATATGTTATCACCCTGTGGGAATTTCCAAAAGGAAAAAAAAAGCTTCCCCCCCCCCTCTCTCCCCAGCCCATGAATGCTATTTTTAGTTAATATAATCATATTCTGACCCCCTACATGTTTTGGCAGGTGCGAACGTAGCTGATAGCATTAACTATGCATCTTGTAAGCACGTCACTACAGAAAAGTGCATTGTGTGGCTTTCTCAGGGAAATGTATCTAACCGAAACTGTTGGTTTTGTGGCTTCTCCGGGCAGCAGGATTAAAGCTAATAGTTAGTCTTTTCTCTTGAGCTTAGGGCGGCACGTAGGGGCAGAGGTCATAGCTCTCTATGTCTAGCGGCTCGTTGCCACCTGTTTTAGGTCTTGGATGTTCATTAGGCCCATGGGTGAGCCTTCTCTGATAATGGTTCTATGCAAGGTCTCTCTTTGTCTTACCCGTTTTTGTTTCCTTTTCGATGTCCATATGAGGGGGGGGGGGGGGGGGGGGGGGGGATATCTTATACATTACATTCTGAGTGCATGGTCGATATAGTTCCAGTGGCGCTTTCTTATAAAATTGGATACATTGTCTTGCTTGTCTCTTGTCTTATTTGCACATTGGATCTGAAATCTGTCCTGTGGAGATTTAGTATTCTTCAAAGACATGTAAAGTAAATGGGTTTACTTAAATTGTGCTTTTTTGACAAATCATCACAGTATAGCAGGTTTTTTGTACAACATCATCACTCTCATCACAGCCTATCAAAATATAATCTTATTCCTTGGTCAGTTCCCCTGATGCAGGTACTTTCTCACTCAGAGTGATTTTAATGTCCTGTGTTTATCTTCATTTTGATTGGCTGTCTCTTCTTCCAGAAATCCAGCTTTCCACTGCTGCTCTTTTTAAATGATTGCAAATTTAAATACAGTGAAAGTATGTCAGTCGCAGTCATATTATATACAGTACAGTATAAGGATCATTTTACATAGATGTTCAGATGTAGAATGTTAGTATCTCTCTTCTTGGTGCATGGCATTCTAAATATTCTGTAAGATTCCATTTCAAATCTCATGAGTTTCTTTTCTAGAGTTTGTGAAAATGGTCCATGGCTCATATTTGCAGGCAATAGTAACAGTTCCTAGTAAAATGATTTTTCTTGTTGGTGCTCACATTGATAATTATTGTATAATTCACATTGGAACCCATGAGGTCACTGAAACAGTATGACAACAAACTGTTTACTAATTGGCACTCATAGATGCAAAAGAAAGTAGTAGAGACTGAAATAAACACTTTTCTTTCATAAAGTCCATGCCATTTGGTGTTGGAGTCATGTCTAACCACAACCTTCTGTCTTGTGTACTTTCAGTCAGTTCTGACATAGATGATCTACCGTGCCATGATATCAAACTGTCCAGCCTCTTGCCCTCCCTCTGCCTCTTTTCCTCTCCAGCTTTCCAACCGTACTACAGTTTTCTCTTTCTTATGACATGACATGGCCAAAGAATGAAAATTATCTCGTTCTGATGTTGGAGACCAGTTATCATCATGATTTGGTTTCTTTCAAGACATCTTCATTACCTGTTTCTGCTTCCTATTTTTGCATTTATGTTGGTACATTGGTACATTACAAATTGTTTAAAATAGTTATTTAGTTTAACAAAAATTGAAATCAGACGAGGATGTCAATGTTAATAAAAGATAATGATGCATTGTTAAGAGTTTTGAAATATATGCTGTTTGTTTTATTTCAGGTTGGCTGCTTATGCAAAAGACAATCCAGAAATGGCTAAACGTCACCAGCTTGCACAAATATTTGACAAGATGCTGACGGAACTTTTGTCTTTAAAAGGTGAGTACAGTTTTTATGTCAAGAAGCTGTAGTAGAATATCTTATTCTTGTTTTTAGCATTCACCAGCTGTTAACTCTTGTGCAGAGTTCTGGTTGTTTGTTCACTTCTGGACTTTTGTGTTTTACCCCAGAACTGAGTTTTGCATGCACATTTGTTTTGCAGATCTAGCCTTTTTTAAATTGTATGCAGACTGTTGATTTTTGCCTCTCAGGCAGGTGCATTCAAACTTCAAAGGAGACATCCCAAATTAGTTGACTTTTTATTGGGGCCGTAACCTACACAGGGAGTAGTAGAATTTGAAGATTATGAAGTTCTGACCTGAAATGGAGGGCGGCACTGAAGACCTGTCTTAAGGCAGCGTTTAGTTCTGCTGGTGATCTACATTGAAAAATGAGTACTAAAGCTGTTTCTGAAAAAAAAAAAAAGGTGGCCTTGAAGGTAGTTATTATTCTCATTTCATAATAGTACGTGTTGAGAAAATTGCATAACTTCACATACTGTTGTAGGATCTCCCATGTGAAAAAAGTGTAATCTGTTTCCTCCTCTTTATTATTTTATTATTTCATTGCAGTTTGATTTGATATGATATGAAAGTTGTTGCATTGTCAGTCAGCATGTGTGTACTAATTTTAGAAAACAAACGTGCATAAAATAAAAAATAGTTTCATTTGCGAGAAAAAAATCTGCCTTTACTTACCACATTTGTTGTGTACACACACACACGCGCACGCACACACACTTCCCGTAAGGTAGTATCTGCTACACGACAGCCCTCACCTAATCAGTTGTAAAAATTAAATAATTTAAATGTAAAATAACTATTAGAATTGCAAAGTTAATTTAATTTTTATTATAGCTAGGAACTAGTTCCTTTGCCCGCTGACCTAATGGCATGGATTACACTTTAATTATTGATGTTTTTCTTGTTCTCATGGCTCAGGGGTTATCCTGTGTTCATGAAATTTATATGAAACGTAATTGGAAGTAATACAGAGTTGGTTTGACATTGTCCAAACGACTGTAAAAAGAACCTTGTCAAGCATCACAGCTCCATTTTGTTACTGTACATAGATCAAGATCCTTTATATATATATATACTTTACTGTGTTGTTTATATAATGTAGTCAGCCTCTGTGGCTTAGTCATTGTAAACGCACTTCGTAATGCCGGGGACCCTGGTTTGATCCCAGCTGCAGTCGATAAGCCAGCAGATCCTCTAGCATTTGTTTTGACAGTGGCATCGAGAGCTGCAGTTCGGAAAGCAGTTGCAAACTGTTGAACGTAAAAATATGCTTAGAAAAACCACATCAGCAACAAAAATGCTGGGGTTGGTTCTGTAATGTCCTGTAAAAGATACACAACTAACTTAACATTAAAAAAAAATGTTGTTTATTTGTAAGAGTTTATTTTCATTCTTTCCTCAGATGAAGATGGTGACAATATTGTGCTGCCGCTTATGTCTGTGCCATCTCGTAAGAAGCAGCCCCAGTATTACCAGGTGGTGAAGGAGCCCATTGATCTGTCCATGATCAAACAGAGGGTGAAGACAGGACACTATGACCATTTGAGTGCTTTCAATTCTGATGTCATGCTGCTGTTTAGTAATGTTGAGGTTCGGCCTGAGTTTAATGTGTTTTGGAATCTCATTGATTGTAGTTAATTATGTTCATTTAACTTAAAGACCTGATTATTGGTAATAAAGTAATGGTGACCTATGGTTTGTGCATTTGTCTGCCAAGACTGTGGTCTTGATTCAGTCCCCTGAAATGGTAGACAAAAGTGTAAAATCTGAATTAGAACGAACGGACGAACAAACGAACAAACTTTATTTTCAAAGGTTAAGAATTGGGCACGCAGGCCCGTCTAACATTCTGCCCCTCCTCTCCGCTCCTTTCATACAATTTTTCATTTGTACCTCATTTCATAGTTAATAGTAATAATAATAACAATAATATTAAGAAGTAGAACTAGCCACATTCACAGTACCACAGTTAGGAAAAAGTAAGAAAAAAGTAAACATTGCAGCTAAAAATCCTTCATCAGGATGTCACAAACGAGTAGTGATTTAAGTACAGACAAGAATATACAAAATCACTTATCCATACGTTGAGGTCTGTCATAAAATATCCTTTAAGGTTTAAATACCAGAGACTTGAGCACACATCATTCCAGCACAGATACCAGGGAGTATTTTTTTCCATCCAGTACAGCTCTGTGCAGTGTTAATCTTCATATTGCCTCACTAATATTAAAGAGTGCCTGGGACAGTTGGTGTCTCAGTATACAGCAACAGTGACCGCTACGTGTAGACATCCACAATAGACTGGCCTGAACACATGTGAACTGCACCAATAGTATTAATATCTTCTGTTCTGGACTGTGTATTCTGTCTTCTATCACTGTTTGATTATCTATGGTTATGCCTGGCAAGCATTTAGTTCACATGTTTTAAAGATGTCAAGTTCTTCCTCAAGGAGGCAGAACCAGAAGATGATTCAGAGGACAAGGTTGATTCGGCAACATTAAAAAAGACTACAAGAACTTCAGGTCAAAAAACGTCGCCAATCATGAATGCTATAATGGTAGCTAAAGAAGAATAGTAAACCAACATAGAACTGGTGTTGTCAGTCGCCTAACGCTGAGGGATATACTGAAGATGGGATCAGAGAGCTTATATACTTGTCCGATGTGCAGTGAGGATAATCTGTCTATTAACTAACTAACTAACTAACATCAAGTTCTTTCTCCATGTATAGTCCACTAATACTCGTAGACAGTCACTGGCTCGCTGAACTTACCATAGACATCTCAGACGAAATTGTTAGCAGTCATCAAGCGGCCATCCCTTTTGACACAAAGGCCAGATATTCAAGGCCTCTGCAGGCTGCTTGGATACACTCAGTCTTTAGCTTCATTCGCATTCACTCTATGAGCCAAGATTTTAGATACAGGCATTTCTGGGTCTGGATTTCAGAGATGTCGATAGATCTTGTTAGGTCTTCACACTGTTGCATCTTTTCACTGTTATTAAAAGGCATTTATAGTTGTTTTGTATAAAATAATGGTTTGGTGAATATCATCATTCTTGATGTGATCTCTGATATATCAGAAAATTTATTTTCAGTGCATATATTTTCCTTCAGCGAGGTCCACGTTTCACAGCCACAGTTAAAAGTGCAAATAAATGGTTGATAACTAGTTTTAGGTCACTGAGAGCTTAGTTGTATTTTGCAAACTTCCTGGGATTTAAAGATTTAAAGATTTAAAGCATTGTTTTTATTTCAGAGCCTAAATAACATGTGACAGCTGTGATTGTATTTTAGAGATTAAAGAAAATGTGACAGCTGTCTTGTTTGTATTTTAGAGCTTAAGTAAACTTGTTTGTATTTTTTCAGCTGTATTGTGGGCCAAAATCGAAAATGGGACAAGTTATTCTCAAACTGAGGCGGCTTTTGAACTGTGTGAAATTGGATGTGGCCAATCAGATAGATGAATTACTTGGTCCAAATACCACTAGAGCGTTCATGGATGCAGAATTGGAAAAGCTGGAGCGTGTACCCCCTCGAAGTAAATTCTTATTTTACTGCTTGCTTATTTTTTAAATGTTAAATTCTTCTTATTCTGGCATTTTAGGCATTTAATTAACCCAAGCAGGAATGGAAAAGAAGATGTTGGAATTGTGTAGACAGGGAAAGTTGTTTAACCCTTTTGCCCCAAAGACTGTAAAAAAAATAGGTCATGACCATATTAGGTTTCCTGAAAAACAAGTTTTTACAGGTTACTACTAAATTTGTTTAAAATTTATTTATTAACTTTATAAAATTATTTTTTTGAAATATATAAAGATTTATAAACATGAACTATCAGCATGAACAGGGTGAAGCGTTAAATTGAATACACCCCCTGGGGCCTAAAAACACACGTATGGGGTGACACATGCAGTGTCCCCCTGACCTTTACCATTGAGGCTTATGAGAAAATCTGATGTCATCTTGGCTTTAAAAAAATGCTTTTCAACAAGAAAACCTCCTCTATTGTTAGTTAATTTAAACATATCCAAACTCAGCCAATTGCTTTAACTGTACATCTTGTAGATAGGTCATAATAGGCAAGTCAGAAAAATGACATTAACGGGGAACTAGACCCAGTTGAAAGTGTTAGTTTTTAATCTTTTCATGGCAGAAGGGTTAAATCAGAGTTCCTCGACCTTCTTACATCTGCAGCCTACCAAAACTAGAGACATTTTTATGGTCTTTCTGACATGTAACCAAACACAGAAACTAAAATCAAATGTAATTGCAGTTTTTTTTTAAAAATCCGATGTTATAAAATTACAATTGTTAGCTTATGTGACATCTGCTGCTGCTTAGAGGCTTTAAGTCTTATATGAATTATCAGTCGTTACTATTTGTTTCATAGATCGTCGGGAGCCAGAAGAAGATATAGTCCGATGTATCTGTGGGGTTACCAGAGATGAAGGACTGATGCTTCAGTGTGAGAAGTGTTTGGTATGTCATTTTTTGTTATCTCCAAAGAGATTAAACACTGTCTCCCTGTACTTCATTTACTCTAAAAAAATTAACAACTTTCTTCACCTCTCTTTATATTTGTTTCTGATCCATTTTCTTACTCCTTCACATCCCTTTTTGTCTTTCTTTTATTTCACTTTCCTGAACCTTTGTCTCTTAATCTACTTACACTACTGTTTTCAAATTATTGCGTTAGTATTTTTGTAAAAACCAAATATTGAATCTTGTGTTATGAAAATAAATGCCTGAACTCAATCATTTTCGAATCCATATAGCTAAAAAATGTAATCCCAGCTTTGTAAAATGAGTGTGAGAGAGAGAGTATGAGAGAGAGATCTTAGACAGAAGGCGATCACTTCATAATACCACGATCTAGTTTCACACCTTAGTGGCTTTATCTACCATTTCATATACCTTAAATTTAACAAGAAATGTGTCATCTTTTGCTGTCGCTTGATAATGCATCTCTGCAGCATAGTTGGATCCCATATTTGACAATGTGACCATACTGCCCCACAATTTGTCTATAGATTGTTTCTTTCTGCCAGATTTCATTATCAAAAAAAAAAAAAAAAATTATGTCTGTGAGATGTCATGCTGTTTTCCCAAACATTTTATTTTTCTATTGAAGTTAACAAAGCATGTTGCATGGACAATGTATAGTCTCTGCTGCCCAGGCTTTGTGCTATGGACAGAAGGAATGTCATCCCTTGTCTTAATTTGTATCACTGTAGGCTGTGATTGCATGTTTCCCTGTGCCACAGTTGAACTCTGTTGTCTGGACAGCGAAAAGGTGCCAACAATCATAAGTACATTTTTTTCTAAGTAAAATAAATTTGCACATGTTGTCGTTTTCTCAGAGGTGGCAGCACTGTGATTGTGTTCAAGCCAGTGGGGATGAGGAACATTATCTGTGTGATCGCTGTGAACCCAGATATTATGATCCGGTGAGTGAAATGCTTGAGGTTATAGGTGTCAGAAAAGACACAGAAGGCTGCATTCTTGTAACACTAGGTTGTAAAGTTGAGTTTTTTTAACAAACATGTTATAGCTTGGCGAAGTGAAACAGACAGAACACAATGCCGTTGCGTTAATTTCTGTGTTTGGGAGGGAAGCATGTATGTAGAGATGACACACACACACATACATACAAGGATGCCACAATACACAATTGTCCATCTCATATTCTTCTTAGTGGTCACTAGCTGTGAACTCCAGCAGAAAGTTCTGACTTTTCATCAACTTCTGAACTTTGATTCCAGAACTTGAGTCTTGCATGTACATATATTATACTGATCTGGCTTAATTTTATGCAGGCCTTAGGATGCTCAGGCAGATGCACTCCTATTTCGAAAGAAACTCCTCTGATGTTCATTTTACAAAATGCTTGGGAGGGGGCAGTGGGTCTAACCCCCCCCTCCCTCCCCCCCCGATGGGGCCCTGAAAACCAAACAAGGATATTTTCCACCCTCTTATAAAGCACTTGGATATCCTTAGTTGGTGACCATTCCACCAATGGTAGTGTGTTTGGTTTCTGAGCCATGGTGTGCTCTCTGGTCAAGTGTCAGTGAGGATTAGGATGTGGTTGTATATTGGTGGACCTTGTAAAGACTGAATCTTATGGAAGCCAGGCTGTGCAAAAAGTTTCTCGTGATTAACTTGAACCCAATATATAAATTAGATGTCTTCTCCACAATGAAGGTTGGCTGCAGTGGATCTCCATCATGATCTATCTTTCACCCTGGGTGTACACACCCTGAGATTCTGTTCGTCCATCTTTTGATGTCATCCTCCCCATGTATCACTGTCCGCCTCTTGCTCACTTGGCTTCAACTTTTCTCTCCAGTATGGTTTTTATTTTTCTTATATCTTTTAATGTGACAATAATATTGCACTTGTCTCTTTATTTCTTCAGTACCTCTGTGATTATTGTTGTTTCCACAAAATACATTTTCTTCTGTATTTCCGCATCTCTAGAGAATCAATATGATTTTCTAATTGCTTGTTCATAGTCCAGATCTCTGCACCATACAACAGGGCTGAGTTTTCATACAGCTCACTCAAAGTTTATAGTTTTACATTGAGACTCTGGATTGTGTTAGTAGGGACAGAGAGTAATGAGTCTAAAGATTATACTTCTCATGAAGGTACAATTGATTGCAGACATTCCGTATTATTTATGCTACCTTTTGTATTAGGGAATTTTGTGTGTTAAAGATTTACAGATCTATAGCCAACAGCAATAGACTGGATTATGAAGACAGCAACCTCTAATACCAGGAATGGAATTAAGTAAACCCCAACAGAACAGCTTGAAGATCTGTACTTCACAGATGTTTCTCTTTTGCATTCACGAAGTCAGATGCAGGATAAATTTAATATACTTAATTCAAGATCACAGCTAGGTCTAAAAATCCATGAGGGAAAGACTAAGATTATGAAAATAAATCAAGCAAATAGTATTGTGGTATCTGTTAATGGTATCGCACTCCAATATGTGGAATCATACAGCTATTTGGGTAGTCATGTAGATAAAGATGGGTTAATTGGTAGAGATATTAAAATATCATTACAAAAGGCAAGAAGAGTTTTCACAGCACTAGGCAGATGGTGGAGGTCATAATACTTACTTAAAATCATTAATACTATGCTTCTGTCTGGACCAAAAAGTTGGAGAACAACTAAAACTGTTAATAATAAACTAAAAACATTAACTGGGGCCTGCGGAGAATAGAGGGAATTAAATGGTGTGATAGAATCACTAATGTTGAGCTTTGTTTCTCCAGGAAATCTTGTTAGTTCCTCCACCCTTGGATGCTCTTCCTGACTGCACTCACTACATGACCCTGCTCAAAGATGATGTGCAGTATGCAGTCGGTGATTGTGTCTATGTCATGAGAGACTGCAAAAGAACATCAGCAGGAACTCCTCTGCGTGCTTCTCACCGCCTGATGACCACGGTCAACCCAGACAGGCTGGACATCTTCAGATTAGACCAGCTGTGGAAGGATCCAAAGTAAGATTTTTTTTGTATGCATCATCCGTGGCTTGCAAAGAATAAAGTGAAAGCTAGATAAAGTCGAGGGAATAAACTTTTTGCACCGGGCTTTTTCCCATATGGTTCTGTCTCAGTAGAATGGCTAGTTGACTGCCGAGAAGAGTGCCGCACAAACATCGTAGCTCCAGTGACAGTTGTCAGTGATCTCAGAGGAAACTGCACTTGTTAACCGAGCAGTGCATCCAGGAAACTAACCCACAATGTTTAGAACATGAGCCAAATGGCTTAACTACTTCACCACAGATAGTAATTCAATAACCTGCTGTACATGTCATGGGAGTTGACTAGAGGGCATTGCACTGAGACTCTCTGTCCTTTTCTGTGGAGAACCTTTAGCTGCAAGAGATTGACATGAGTTGGTTGAGGGCCTGTGCTGTTTGGGAGATGGAAGATAGAAGAAAATGTTGAAGAACTAGTTTTCAGTATAAGGTTGTTGCGTATCCTTTACAGGACGTTGCAGAACCAACCCCAACAGCCCCTGGCTGTTGTGTTATTTTTCTAGGCAAATTTATGTCCAGTAGTTTGCCATTGCTTTCTGTACGGTCGGCTTTCTTGATACCACTGTCGAAACCAACGCAAGGCGCATGGCCCGCAGCTGGGATCGAACCCGGCACGAGATATTGTCTGTCTTATTTGTTAATTGTCCAGGATTTTCATGTGTAACAACTATCTCTATACATCATATGAGAATTCTTTTTCCAACCTTCAGTGACATGGATGTATTTTATTAAATACAGTTTTGGTCTATCCTATTCTGTTCTTTATCTAGAGAGAGAGATAGAGAGAGAGAGAAAGAAGAGAGAGGGGGGGGGGGGGGGGCTGTATTCAGGTTCTAAGACTAATTGTTTTCCAGTAGCAAGGTAACATTAATGCAGTGCATAAAGCAGCCACTGAATTAACTATGTAAACTAAAGGAAGTTTAGGATCATTTTCAATTCTTTGATCCTTATTAGGTCCGTGGTAAGTAAGGGTTCCTTTAAAAAATACAATCAGTGGGCACTCGAACACATGACTACCGGATCAGCTAGTGAGCATGCTAACCACTACATTCCTACAGCTCCCAATTCTGTTAACATTACTTTTTTTTATGTGGATGTTTTGAAAAAAATTATGTCACATACCATTTTATTGTAAATTTACTTATTATAGAGAAAATAATATTTCAGAGGTGAAAAATTTGCAAGCGGAACCCCTTACCTTCGACCCCAGGAAACTTTCCATGAGCCCACAAGAAAATTTTATCACAATGAGGTATGTGCATCAAATGTGATTGCTGGATTATAGTGTGTTATTTTCACAATTGTAAGATTTCCTAGTTCTGTTGTGCATTTTCTTTGCTTTCAGATTGCATTCATTTTAATTATAATGTTTATATTTTCTGTCATGGTTAATCCTCCTTGTGTAATTGTTTTAATAATCAGAGGTATAAACAGGTTTGGAAAAAGTGAATTAAGACCTGAGTCATAGATTGTTTGAGTAGAATAGGAAGTTTAAAAAATGGTGTGACTTTGACTGTGGGATCACTACTCAGCATACCTGACCCGGTCGTGAACAGTCTGTCACAGAAGCCATGCTATGTTTAAACTTCCTACTCCACCCATAGACTTGCTGCACTGACAAGCAGGCATCACCATACTGGACCTAGATTTGTCAATTTATTTCTGTAGGTTTCACCCCTTTCCTGATTGAACAACGCTGCTCCTCTTTGGTGCATGCCAACAGGTGGGCAACCATCTTTAAACTGTCATTAGGTTTGTCAACACGGCTGTCATGTGCTTAACACTCTTGACATCCTTAACAACCATATTGACATGTTACAGAACAGTGGCATAGTTATTGTAATTTTTTTTGGGTGTACACAATTTTAAGGTTTACATTTGAAGGCTCATGTTGTTGTTTGTGAACGATTAAACCAATATTC